GCTGCTAAAATATTCACTGCTAGTATTAGTGGAGAGAAATAGTGCGCCTGCACATAAGATGCATAAGGGAAATGAATGCAACATGATTATAGTAATCAGTCATTAGCGAATGTTGTAGTTCATTATTAATAATTATGTATAACAGGATATTGTAAAAATTAAGTTACAAAATGTTTATTAAAATGTTTCTTACATACCATTATATTGGCTGGGCAGCAAAAATATTGTTTGTGGGCCGCATGCGGCCCATGGGCCGCGAGTTTGACATGCTCGATATACAGTAATGTCCTAGGCCAGTTCTACAAGCTTCATTTATGGTAAGTGTCCTATACAGGTGTATCATTTTTTATTTTTTATACCATATTTTTACTGTACCCTTTACAGTTGCCTGCAGTATTCAGTACAGTAACATACTGCACAGGCTTGTGGCCTAGGAGCAATAGGCTATACCACATACTAGTAGTCTAGGTATGTAGTAGGCTATGACATCTAGGTTTGTATAAGTGCATTCGATGATGTTTGCACAGTTCTCAGAACGTATCTCTGTTGTTCAGCAACACATGAGTGTATTCCCAATGACATAAATTTCAGCATGACCAATAGCTAATTTTTATTATAAACTCAGAATTAATAGAGTCCAAATGAATGAAATTTCCTCTAGCTTTTTCATTATATTATACTAGAGGCCCCGGTGCACTAGTTCATTATTAATATGTATAACAGGATATTATAAAAATTAAGTTAAAAATGTTTATTAAAATGTTTCTTACATACCATTATATTGGCTGGGCAGCAAAAATATTATTTGTGGGCCGCATGGGGCCCATGGGCCGTGAGTTTGACATGCTCGATATACAGTAATGTCCTAGGCCAGTTCTACAAGCTTCATTTATGGTAAGTGTCCTATACAGGTGTATCATTTTTTATTTTTTATACCATATTTTTACTGTACCCTTTACAGTTGCCTGCAGTATTCAGTACAGTAACATACTGCACAGGCTTGTAGCCTAGGAGCAATAGGCTATACCACATACTAGTTGTCTAGGTATGTAGTAGGCTATGACATCTAGGTTTGTGTAAGTGCATTCGATGATGTTTGCACAATTCTCAGAATGTATCTCTGTGTTCAGCAACACATGAGTGTATTCCCAATGACATAAATTTCAGCATGACCAATAGCTAAACTCTGAATTAGAAACATCAATGAGAGAGAAACATCAAACAGCCGCCTCCTGCACACTCCCTACTGGGGATGTGCCTGCAACACATAAACTCTGAATTAATAGAGTCCAAATGAATGAAATTTCCTCTAGCTTTTTCATTATATTATATGTCTATACATATCATATACTATATTAAGAAAAAAATACAATCCATGGACAATCTCCTAGGCCAGGGAGAAAAGTAATTACTAGAATCAAATGTTGTTTCTAATATTTTTTAGGTAGAGAAGCTGAAATACACTGAAATCGATTTTCCCCCTAAAGTAAAACCATAAAGAGGAACAGCAAAGGAGTTTCAGTTTTGATTTTGCCTCATTGGAACCATTAATAGCAAATAGTTTCATTCTTCTCAGATATTCCCCCTAACCACCACCCTTTTCCTCTCTATTTGCCTTCTCTTTCTTTTCCCCTTTTTATTTCCTCTAAATAGCATAATGACCAGAGAACATGACTGAATTAAATAACTTCTCTCAACTCTAGGTCAAGGTCATTCCTTCTTATTATCCCATCTATCTCTTCTGCTGGCTTCCCTTTACCTTCTAGAAAGTCTGCTTTCAGGTGGACGGCTCCTGCTTCTTCTTGGACAGAGCAAAACAGAGCAATGGATGCAATTTTCCTGAAATGTCATAAGGCCAGACTAGGGGAATCAGTGCCCTGAAGTCTTCTGTGTCTCTGTCATGATGATATCAATGCATTCTGAGCACACTGGGAGGCAGCGCAATATAGTAGAACCAGCTTTGGAGTTAGAAAGACCACAATGCAAATCAATTCTGACCACTACTTACTAGCTTTTTGACCAGAAAGTCAACAAATACTCTGAACATGTTTCCTCATCTGTGAAACAGAGATAATAATATCCACTTTGGGGAGCGGGCCTAAGCCTGCAGTCAGACATCATTAGCGCTGCCGCGGAGGTGGGAGAGTCTCCCGCCACC